GAATTCTTTAACCACGCTCAATTTTCTAAACTCTTTAATTATTTTTATATTGCTTTTTGAAAATTCTATATCCAGTTCTGAACATAAAGAAGCAGTCAAAGAAAGTGGAATACATGGAACACGATTCGCCCAGCGTTTCAAGATAGATCTTAATCCCCATTGAAATGTTGTTTCCGGAGATACATCAATTCCCAAATCTACTGATAACTCGTGAAACATTTTAGGTGAAAATTCTACAACAATCTCCAATAATATACTTTCATCTAAAAAGTAATCACAACGCAAAACATCTATACTTTCTAATTGTTGACAACCATCGAAAATTACTTTCAGTAATTCTACGTTTCCATCTGAAAACATAGTGCATAACGACCTAAGATTTGGACAAAAATTACCTATATCTAAATTTATTGAACAATGAATATTTTCGCAAAGAATGAGTTCCTTTAAACTCTTTCCATTAATTTCCAGAAATTTGGTTAGGTTTTCATCATCTGGACATTCATATCCAAATTTTAAAATTTGTAATTGTGGAAAGTTAGCATATTGAAGTTTACTGAAATCTTTTAAGCCACACATTCTGTTAACTAATGATAAGGAAAGTTCCTGTAAATTCGAAAGCTCCGAAATAAATGACCATGGTATACAAACACTTCTTCCATGAATATGTAACTTGGTTAACGTGTTAGGAATCTTTGTAAAAAATATACTTTGATCTTTCGCATCATATTGAAAATCCAACTCCAAGTTCTTTAAATTGTTTTGAACAGAAACTAATTCTGCTAATTCATTTGAGGTTCTAGATTGAAAAATTATCTTTAGAGATCGTAAATTGAGACATATTTGTGATAGCTTATAAGAAGTATTTGAACTACACTTTAATTCAGAAAGATCTCTTAAACTATCTTCAGCTCCAGGATAATTAATAAATGGTATATTTGGTATATTCATGTTATAAATGTCAAAATATAAACTTTTAAGAGAGGTTTGATTCATTAACATTTTAAATAATTCATGTTCCATCATCACCATAATTTGTTGATTTTTTTCAACGCTTTCTAAATTAATAGGACGCCGACACCGACAATTGATAAATCTTTTAATTGAGCGACAAATATCATAAATGCAAAGGTTCTTGATAAATGATGAATAATAAAATAATGGAGGTCTTGAAGATAAATCCGAGATTAAATTTCCATTCTCTGATAAAATCATTTTTGATTTATTAGGAAGGCAAGTGAGTAAAGTATTAAAATTTTGAATTTTTCTCCATAAAATTCGAACAGATGTTTCACACCAAAGTCGGTTTACTAGTATGCATGAACGTAAATCCTCATCTTTCAAATATTCAAAAATTTCATTTAAGCAGTCAGCAGGGAGATTAAGAGACATTTTGTTTAAAGAAAAAGAAAAAAAAATTGAAAAGGAAAAAATAACGTTTTTAGTGAGAAAGAAATTTTGAAACCAAACCAAAAAAAGCATTTATTAGCAATTTAAAATCTAGTATTACAAATAGACCTGCCAAACATTTGTCGATCATTTAAGGATAAAAGTTTCTTTTTTATACTAGAAAAAAATAAAAAAATAATTAAAAAAATAATTAAATGAAAGTTTAATAACAATTTATGTGACATGATACAAGAAATGATGCCATTTGATTAAAAAAGAAAAAAACATTTTTAAAATAAAAATTATGAAGAAATTCTAACACTAAAAAAAAAATTATTTCAAGAAGATTTAATTTATTTAATTTACTTTGAAATTAAAAAGAAAAGAATTGATTAGAATATACAATATAGCGTTAATCATAGTTCATGATTTGTAATCATAATAAATCACTAAGATCTGAACTTTCTTAATTTTATATAATTTATTAATTTCTTATTTTTCTTATATTTTTATAATTTATTTATACAGATTAAACTAAGAATCTTTTATTTATAAAATGAAAAGAATAAATAATTATTTGAAATACATATATAAATTGTTTGTCTTTATATTGCATTGAATGAGGTAGGTTGATAAGTTGCGTGGGGACGAAGTCCCTCTATCCGCAATTTCTAGTTTTTATTATGTAAGCGAACGATCGCCGTCACAAATCTAAGAGAGATTTATGATACAATTATGAGTACTAGAAGAAGATGAGAGTATCAGAATAAAAATTAATTATATTAAAGTTCTTAATTCTTAAAGAAAAATTCTGTCGACAAAAAAGTCGCAGGATTCATTTCTTCGTAAAAAATACCTGCACCATTCACATTTTGATCATCACTTCAGAAAATTTTGGAAAATAGTTTATTAAAATTTTTTATTAATTAATAAATTAGATATTATATTTTTTCGAGGAATTACAATTATCCTTTTTCCAGGAAGAAAATAGTTGATAAATCAAATATAAATTAAAGTAATATAAAAAATCTTTTAGTTATTAGGCAATAGATAAGAAACATATGTTGTCACTTTATAGTCACGTGATGTACATTACAAATTAGGCAATAAAAATAAGATCTCCTCATAAGAGTTTACCATATCGCGTAACCTTTTTTTATGCTTTGCTTGCAATTATTATTTTTATGGTTTATGTGTATTTTTTTTATTTTTATTTTTTTTTTACTGAAAATTTCCGTTAGGTAAGGTTCAAAAAAGAAAAAAATATGTTATGCCAACGTTTCGGGGACCTGCAAAACCTTGCCTGCCAAGGCGTTGTCAACGAAATAGTTTCTTAATATGATTCGGGGGCATGTAAAACCTTGTGTGGTTACGACTGCCAAGGCGTTGTCAATGAAATAGTAGTTTCTTAATATGATTCGGGGGCATGTAAAACCTTGTGTGGTTACGACTGCCAAGGCGTTGTCAACGAAATAGTAGTTTCTTAAATGATTCGGGGGCATGTAAAACCTTGTGTGGTTACGACTGCCAAGGCGTTGTCAACGGATGGTTATTTTACTTTCATTTTTGAATAAGGTTATTAATATTATCTTCTTTTTTTTACATTTCATTAGATATATATACTATGGTATGCAATTTATTCGTCACTTTTTTGTTAATTATCAAATGTAAAACAATAACCTTACCACTCGACTTAATTATGTAAGACTGATCACATTGAAGCTTTGAAGATTATCTTGGCGAAGGACTATGGAGTAGTCAAATTCTTTAAAACCTTTGAATATCCGTCTTACCAGCGCGATTTAGCAGAAGAGGATCTGAGACAAGCGTTAGAAGGTGTCATATCGGAAGAAGATCAATTGTCATCAAAGGCGCAACAGTGGCTTCTTGATTTTGATAAAATGATCCACAGCCTGAACGTGAAACGTTATTGGAACTCAATTCAAGCAAGTGAGGAACGTGAAATAACTCGAATAATGAAAGTAATCTTTAGTGAAAAAGAGGTGAGAATTGTGAGTGTAAATATTTATGTGTTTTAATATATGAAAATTCAATATTAACACTTTGAATACAGGAACAGCATGTTTACCGTGTAAAAAAAAATATCGTTGCACAGCGTGACTTAGCTAGTGATTCTTTACGAATTAATATTCAGGTTAGTTACGTATTACTCTTTATAGTACATTAATTAATCGCTTATTGTACACGTTAAGAATGTTGGAAAATTGTTTTGTATTGTATATAGGAACATCTCGGTAAACGTCTTTCATCACTGCATACACCGTATTCTAACAAGAAGGTTGAGATTAAGTCTTCAAAAATTATTAATTACTTCAAGCGACAAATAACTTATCCTCATGTTTACCTTTCCGTTTCATAATTCAGATAAAATCAAGTGGCCAAACCGAAATAGATGAAGATCACTCTATCGATGCGGTCTATGGTAATCACGATATACCCTCTAGAGATCACACTACCACCGAAACTAAACAAGAGAAAATAATAGATGAAACCTCACCTATCGACCTTAAATCATTTGAAGAAGCATATTCAGCCCTGGATCCTAATTGTATGTGGACTTTGGAGAGTGGTCGTAGAGTGGAGGAAGTTATTTACCAATATGCTAGAAATCTTTCTGGAGAATCATGCCTTCATTCGTTTATTATCAATGATGCTGATTTAAATGCTAAATCATTATTTACCAATAATGAATGGGAAGAAATCACAACGTCAGAAGTTAAGATATTCCAAAACTTGAAACTTCACTTATAGAATTAATGAAAGCATATACGATTGATGATTTAAAAAAATTACGAAAAGTTCTTTATGAATCATTTGTAGATGATTACGACAATGATATTCATTTTGATCTTGACTTTATAAATTATGCATATCGCAGTATGTTATTTTTATGGCAAAAAAACGAAAATCCCTTTACAGAATCAAAGCTAGAAGGGTGGTATGAGATGAACGTTTGGGGTCGGCTGATCGATCCAGCTTTTGACAATCAGAACATTGATTTATTGCGTGGAGATGGTATGAGTTTTGCTTCAAGCGATAGGAAAAATCAAAATAGGACAACAAACGTTCGAAAGAAAATTGGTCGTAAAGGTGACGGAGTCTTCAGATTACATGGAGATCGTTTAGAGTTTGGTGCAATAGAAGCAGGACGTAAATGGGAGGGAAAAAGTGGAACTAAGTATCTGAATGATTCCTTAAAAATAAACAAAATGTTGAAGGACATGATAGCACAGCTTGCTATTACGTGTGAAGGGAAAAATGATCTGGTACGGAAATTGCAAGTTATCGGTATTCTTAATGGGGCTAACAGAATTCAGGTCCTTTTGATGGATACCCAAAGGTGTATATTTCTCGTATCCAACATAGAAAGGTTCGTGTGGTTGCTGGACGTCTTACTAATTCAGAACCACTTGCCTATGTATTGAAAGAAATATTATGTGCCAAAGCTATTATTGGACAGACATTGGACGTAATAAACAAGAAGAATAATGTCAATATGGTTATACTACGATTGCCCGAATGCTAATTTTCCGAATATACCTTTTCCGAAGTCATATTTCCCGAACGACAATTTCCATAACTGGACCTTTTACCGAAATATCCAATTACCCGAACGCCAACTTCCTGAAACCTGATTTCCCGAATTGCATGAAACATCCATTTTACCGAACATCCAATTTCCCGAATTCTGATATCCCGAATGTCACAGTA